TTAGTTCATCATTCGGGAAAAGATGTTTCTCTCATTTTAAGGCAAGGTTGCCTATTTAGTCCATCATCCGGGCAAGGTTGCCTAATGATCTTCATCGTTTTAGGCGAGTTGCCTAGCAATCACGAGCATATTTAATTTTCGGGATAGGTCGCCCTCCAATTTGGCCATGTATCGCACGTTTGATTTTCGGAGCGGGCCGCCCTTCAATTTGGCCTCGCATTGCATATTTAATTTTCGGGGCGGTGCCGCCCTCCAATTTGGCCATTTATTGCATATTTAATTTTCGGGGCGGGCCACCCTCCAATTTGGTCATGTATCGCATATTTAATTTTCGGGGCGGTGCCGCCCTCCAATTTGGCCATGTATCGCACGTTTGATTTTCGGGACGAGCCGCCCTTCAATTTGGCCTCGCATTGCATATTTAATTTTCAAGGTAGGCCGCCCTCTAATTTGGCTATGTCTCGCATATTTAATTTTCGGGGCGGGCCGCCCTCCAATTTGGCCATGTATCGCATATTTAATTTTCGGGGCGGGCCACCCTCCAATTTGGCCATGTACTTGCATATTTAATTTTCGGGGCATGCCGCCCTCCAATTTGGCCATGTATCGCACGTTTGATTTTCGTGGCGGGCCGCCCTTCAATTTGGCCTCGCATTGCATATTTAATTTTCGGGCGAGCCGCCCTCCAATTTGGCCATGTACTTGCATATTTAATTTTTAGGGCAGTGCCGCCCTCCAATTTGGCCATGTATCGCATATTTTTCGAAGCAGGCCGTCCTTCAATTTGGCCTCGCATTGCATGTTTAATTTTCGGGGTAGGTCGCCCATCAATTTGGCTATGTATCGCATATTTAATTTTTAGGGTAGGCCGCCCTTCGATTTGGCCACGTATTGCATATTTAATTTTTAGGGTAGGTCGCCCTTCGATTTGGCTATCCCATCACCATTTTACTCTTGATTTAAAAAAAAAAGAAAAAAAAATCAAAAATTTGTTTTTCTTTACAAGCTTATTAAACAAAGTCATTGCAAAACATCTTTTTCATTTGACTTTGCACCATAAGCATTGTAAAAAGGGGCAATCTGTAATAACAAAAAAAAAAAGCACTTCCACTTTTTTTTTATTACTTAAAAAATACAAAAAATACAAAAAAACCAAAAAAAAAATAAATTAAAAAAAAAGAAACAGATTGAAGTCTATCCCAATTTTTAAAATTCAGTTTAGCTTGGTTGGATCACCTTTCAATAACGAAATTTGAGTTCAAATTGAATAACTAAAAAATCTGAATTTTTAGGTATTTGATTTAGGATGAAACTTGAATTTGAAAGTGTTTGATTGAAGGTGAAACTCAAATTCTCAATGTCTATAAAAGGGCAATATCCCGAAAAAAAAAAAAAGGGAGGTGGAGAGAGGAACAAATGCGGGTTTGAGAGAGAGTTAAAAGGAGAGAAAACGTAAAATTTGAGAGATTTTTTTTTTTTTTTTTTTGGTTTGGCTCCTACTTTTTTTTTCTGGGAATTTTCACGGGCGGGGTTTGATGTTCATCACAATTTTGGGTTCGTGTTCTTCATTTTCCGGGTAAATTGAAGGGGATTTTGCTTTAGTTTGTTTAAGATTGTGGTTTAGCGGTTAGGGAGGAAAACAAATCAAAAGTGAAAGATTGAAGATCGCGAAATTTCAGCATCGTTGGGTTTCCGGGTTGCTTGCATTTTCACGGGCATTCGTTCTTGGTGTTCATCCTTTTTGGGTTTTCCAACGGCTTCGATAGGCAAATCAGCTTTGATTCTTGGGTCTAGACATTAACCACATCGCCCAAACTTGCCACGAACAACTAATCTTCTCGAATTCGACCCCGGTATTCATCAACACGAACAATTCAGCAACAATAACACAAGGGGAGTGTTCTCATTCAAAATTAATCAAACCTACAAAATGGACGAGTGATAACGACAACGGAGTCCAAATATTGTCCTTTACTCATTCGGTTTTCGCACGAGTATCTTAGGCCAACTATATTCCATTTCTAATTAGTGCTTAGGTTCTTGTTAAGTAGAAGGCGATTCAAAATAGAGAGAGAAACGAAAAAAAATATGAACATGAGAGAGAGGAAGTCGAATTAAAGAGAAAGGGATTTTGATCGAAAATAAAAGGAAATGGTGATTGGGTCGCGTTTCGGGCCTTAGCCTAATTCGGTGTAAAAAAAAAAAGGAAAAAGAAACGGGGATTGGGCTTGCACTAATAAAGACTATTTTTGGGCTTAAAAAAAATGGAAAGAAGGCGAAACCGGTTTTAGTCCGAACTTTCGCCCCCACTCTTCTCCACGGAAAATAAATAAATAAAAGAACCATTTGGAAGTCTGGAACTAATCCAAGCTTCACCAAAAAACAAATAGAAAAATAATATATATATATATATATATTAAAAAGAAAAAAAGAAAAAAAAGAAAAAAGAAAATTGGAGCGTTGGGCCAATGGAAAAAAAAAAGATTTCTTTGGATATTTGTGATTTTTGTTTATTATTATATAAGCTTGTTGTATGCGCATTAATTTAGATTCACTATTTTAATCATTGTTTGTTTATTTATTTATTTAATTAGCTTTAAAATTTTGGCAATTTGTTTTTGTTTCCAGTAATTAGGTTAGATAATTATTTGATAAAAGAATTATCAAGTCTCCTGAATTTTTTTAGGGACTTATAAATTTTTATGAACAAAATAAAAAATATATAATAAAAATTCTCAACGAAGTTTTCTATCTAATAGGGACTGTCATTACCAAAAATCATAATTTAATAATCGAGTGTCCTCCGATGCACCGGTTGTGTCAAGACTTTAAGTAGATCCGATGTTTGAACCGACATATCACCCGATGAAGGGGATCGACGATCACTTCAATACGATGCCATGCTCAAAACTAAAAATCAAATTTTGCTAAAATAATTGTTTAAAAATTAGAAAAAAAATTGGCATAAATGAACAATGTAGGAGATAAATTAGGACTAGAACAAGATGTGGTACCTTTCTTTGGAAAGGGCACTTGTAGGGTGAATAATTATCTTCCTAAAAATGTAACCAACCGCTTATCATAGAATCTCTAGACCGAGTGTTATTTTTAGGTTCCTAATTCCTTAATACTAGGTGGCGACTTCAAAGCTCCGTAAATAAACTTGTAAATATTAATCACGTTCATTTAGCATTTAATTTTTGGGAGTCCCGTCCGAGCGTCGGGTAACGACAATCGTTATTAATGGTGACATCCTACATGTCATGTCACGTCATATGAACTCAAAATCTTGGATGAAAAATGCTTTCCATACTAAAATGGTTACTAAAAACTTAGTTTATGTATTTTTCATCCACTTTTAAAAGAACGTGTCAGAATAATTAAAAGGTGTATAATTCATATTTTTATGATACAATAATCATTTTTTTTTAATTGAGTTTGGGGTTTTTTTAATCGGAGTTAGAGATGAAGTGATTGGTGTATAGTTCATTACTAGGCAATTAATAGGCCATGTGAAACCTATGTGGAATCCTACATAACAAAGTTAGCTATGTTGTCATACTCCATCACACGCCACGTCAATTTTAATTGGAATTTAAGTTGAAAAAATTTATCCGTATTAATATAGTTATCGAAGTTTTATTCATAACTTTTTATCCAAAATTAAAAAAAAAAGAGCTAATATAATTTAAGAAAAACGTAAATTTCGTAATTTTCTTGTATATTATCCCCATTTTTTTAGACTAAAGTAGTACTTATTAACATTGATTCCTATCCAACTAAAGTTTTTAAATATTCTAACTACCAATAGTGTCCCTCATCATTCCTTTTCCGAGCAAAAGCCATCTCAGTGGAATTATTGGTATAGAAAAGGTTAGCTCAACAAGAAACTATTATTAATCCACGATTCAATGTTTAAGCTTTTAGGTTGAATTACTTTTCGCTTGACATCAAAGTTTCTTTGATTAAATTGATTGGATGGTAATAAATTTGATACATCCTCACTTTATTTTTCTAATGAACTAAAACACAATAATCATATTAAATAATTATAAATTTGAAGAACTGTAAAATCATTCTGAGGATAAATGAAGACATATTATGCCTCAATCAATTGTTTAGTCCTTGTAAGAGAAACATGAAAAGAAAGATACACTTAATGCATGTTAAAAATAAAATTTGATCAAATGTTTCAATTTCTTTTAAACTTTTAAGTCATTTAAAATTTATTTTCTTAATTTTTAATTTCGACTTGCGCACATCTTCTTCTAATTATTTTTTATTAACTTTTTTTTTATTGAATCTATCGTTTCAGTGTAATTTCTTAACATAAAAAATATCAAAATTTATAATATATTTTGTTTTTTCTTTCAAAATTTGTTTTTTTTTCTCTTAAATGCTAAAAAGTAATAATTAAAAAATATTTTAAAATAAAAAATAAATTTTGAAGAAAAAAAGATATCCATAAATTTTGATATATTGAAAAATTAAAAAACCAATCACTTAAATTACTTGTACTTGTATTTTTAGAATTAACATATAAACCTAATTAGAAGTCTCTAATTTTAAATAAAAATTACTTAGAAAAGGTAAAATTAAAAATTAAAAAACCGATTTTCAAAAAATTTAAAATTAAAAGAAAAAAGTTAGGATAATTTGCCCTAAAATTTTTGCCATACACTTGGTTTTAAAAATTGGACTCAGAACTGCTAATTTTGGGATGAACTATGCAAGCTAGCTAGGTTGGTACTTTGGTAGTTGAATATATCACTTGGCAAACCGCACTCACTAAACTCAAACCTTTTCTTTAATCGCCCTTCACGTGCCTCAGACTTGGACATTTGTCCTTGCCCATCCCCAATTAATGCTCGACACTCACTCCTCTCTCTCACACTCCTCGTCTTCTTCCCTCAAAACACCATGAAAAAAAGACGAAAACCCCATCTGTAGCTGCTCAGATTCTGCCTCCAACTTCTCTTCTTTTCAACAACAATAACAAAATGTGTTACGTAGGGAAAGCAACAAAGATCTTCATTTTCATTGTCACTGTACTTGTAATTTTTGGTATTGTCTTGGGATTTGGTCTCATACGCCACCACCTTCGTAAATCACATAAATGCTCTGATGATGATTGCCAACCCCCACAATTAACCTTCCCTACTCCTACTACAACTGTGCCTACGGGGCAGACCCCTCCTACTCCAGTGGGCTTCTCCCAGCCCAGCCCTCCTGATTCTGGGTCCAGCCCTCCACCACCTAGCCCACCGGACACTGGCACTAACCTACCGCCACCAACTCCTCCTCCTCCTCCTCCTCTTCTGCTGTCACCGCCGCCGCTCTCTCCACCACCTCCTGCTGTGCCTGCTATAACTGGGGCGCCACCTCCGTCTAATAATCCACCAAGTAGTACTGTGTTGGTGACTCCAGGTCCTGTGCATGCTTAGCTGTTCTTTTTTCTTCTTTTTTTTTTTTTAGAGTCATGGCTTTTTTTTCCTTGTATCCTTTTAAATTTTTAGTGTTATTTTTTTTTTTTTAATTTCGGAGGATAAATTTTTATATGGGATTGTATAGGGATGGCTGGTTGAGCTGTGGATTGTGATGACGGATGGTGATTATTATCATTTCTTGAGAACTAGTGAATTTACAGAACTATCCCTTAATTTTTTTTTTCTTAAATAATGTCAACTTCTTTGCTCTTTTCCCCTTGAGAATGTTTTATTTAGTATATTCTTAACAATTTTGAAGTATGAACTTTTATCTATGTTGAAAAAATGGTTGAGGAAGAGAGATGCTTTGAAATCGTGGTAAAATGAGTCAAGCTGGAGTTTTAAAAGTTGTGAAAGTTAAGAATCTTATACAGTTTGTCTTCACTAGTCAAGGAAAAAAAGGACTTGCATGACAGGTGGTCTCCTTTGATTTTTTATGATCATTTGCCAAGGTTGCTATTTGGATGACTGGTGTTAAAAAAGCGATGTCAAGGAATCTGCAATGGAAAAAGTTGCCAAGAAAAAGTCATTGATGATTGCAGTCTGCAGATATTCTCAGCTTTTTTTTATTTTAATGTGGTCTCTTACATGGGCTCTTTTTGGCATATAAGTTAGGCTTCCCATGTGAGACCAGACATGTGCTTCACTGACATGGTGGTACTAGGTGTCGCATATTTATGGACCTTGCAAGCTGTTGGTAATGGAGGTGTCAAGAGTTGAAGAATTAGGCAAAAAGAAATAACACAAGAGGTGGTTCAAAAAAAGAAAAGAAAACCACAATTAGGAATGCCATTTGTGCAATTTTTATTGTAGTTCTTGAATAATTGCCAACCTTGACATTCTTCTTGGTTGATCAATAATTTCAACTTCTGGGACACTGCAAAGGTTGCAAGAATGGAAGAGTCAACGATTTTCAGAGAATTATTTATGGTACTAACCTGATCAACGAGGAGGGAACAGCTTCTCATGTCCTCGTAGAGAGACAATCACAGCACATGGACGTACAAGAGGGCCATTTCCTTGGGTAGTGTGCTTGATTTTTGGAGGACTAGTGAAAAGGAGGGTAAATTCCAGAAATGACGGCCATTTCATTTGGCCCCGCATGCTTGACTGTCTGTTCCTTAACCTGGCAGAAGAACTAGATCAATCGCTCGAGGCAATGATAATGGAAACAACGTGCTGCCTGGAATCCTTAGATTAGTTAGTTAATGGGCTTTGTTCTAAAATCTTAAACTAACTTGTATGAATGAAATGAATTGTAGCAGAAAATCTTTTGGCTCTTGACAGACCAGGGCAGTGAGTTATGGTTTAACCCTTGTTAAGGAATTAGTGATCTTAAGTGGTCCTTGTTTATTGCAATCTATGAAAGTATCAGTTTTGTGTTATGGGATTTGGTTTTTAAATATTTGTATGTGTTGAGAACTGAAGCATTCAATTCATTTGGCTCCAAATCCTGTCAGAAGAAATTGCTGAAAAGGTACGTGGAAAGAGAGGCATGCTATTGATCTTCATCTTCTCTCATTAAGTATTTTGTCTCTAAGCTTCAAGGTTTTTGGAATGGAGTACTACCCTGGATCCCCTAGGGCAAGCTAAAAGGCAACGAGGTTGCCATTTCGAGTGATGCTATTCAGATGGCCTGATTACACATCGAAGCTCAGAAGCTGAAAGAATCAAATATAGGATTTGCAATTGAAGATTGAACGGAAGGTGAGGCTTGGTTTCTATTGCTTATCCATAGGTTGTGTACTTACTTTCCTTTTATTTGAAGTTTTAAGTGTGTTCAGAAGTCTTTGTTTTGATTGTGTACTTACTTTCCTTTTGTATTCATGTAATGGGAAATGGGTCGGCTATGTTTAACTTTTAGCAGCTCTTCCTGAACTGGCTGAGAAGAATTGGCTTGAATGAGAAGCAGAGGCTAAAGGCAGAGCGTCAAGACTCAAATCAGAGCTATTCTCCATCACCAGGATTGATCCTGCCTTATGCTCCAGCAATTTCAGCAGCATTCGTATCTGAAGATCAAGCTTCTGGTAACAGGTTCATGCCTTCCAGCAGCTACCTGGTGCTGCAATGTGGCTCATGACTCCTGCAGTTGACACAGCAGAGGGACATATCATCTTATAGCTTCGCGCCCAGTCACTTAATTTGGAAAACATTCATGATTTATACATTACGAGGATGGTTCCTTCATGTTTTGTTATTGATTCTAAGGCTTACGATCGTATAGAAGTTCTGAAAAATCGAGCTTAGTGAGTCTCTCAATGAACCAATGGGGGGAAATCTAACTCATTAAGGCTGATAGATAACAATGTAACATACAAGTTCAAAAATTTTGATCCTTTTGAACTAAGGTAACCAAAGCCAAATGCTTTCCTTCATCTTCTCTGTATTCGAAAAAGTTCCAAAAGGTCAACTGTGGTCAAAATTATCTTGAATTGTGTTAGCATGTAATTTTCAGGGATGCCTCAACTCTTTTGTTTCATAGGTCAAAGTTTCAAACCTTCCCTCGTCGTCAATTGGCACGAACTAAGGTGGATGTTTGCGTACTTGACAGAAATGGTATCAACTATAAAGTTACACTTTCTGCAATGCTTTCTGCATTTAGAAGGTCAAGCGAAATGTTCGAATGCTTCATAGCAATTTCATCAAGCTAACTATGGGTTTAGGTTAGGTAAAATTTCAGAATGTAGCAGAAGCGCAGTTAATCAGGTCGGTTCCTTTTCCTGATAGTTACACAGAAATCAGATATCTGGAAACTAAGCTATTATTTGCATGTTGCGTTGACTCATATGCAGGTCAACGTTGATTTGAGTCCCATTTGTAGATATCAACGCAAAAAATCAACGATAACTGGTTTTCAAGAATGTTTAATTCAAATTCGGTAAACAGCAGATACATTGAAAGAGATAGAAGGAAGTGCGCTTAAGGGCAAGCTCAAAGTATTAACTCGAAAAAGATGCTGTGTGTCTGGAAGAATCTTCTTTCAATGCTTATAGAGCCAGGAGTACCATCATGATAACTAGGCTGACGCCCATTGTGAGACTGCTTTGCAAACTGTCTTTGTTAGCTGATGATGGGAGAGGTGACTTCAAAAAACCATCTATAGGAGGGGGAGTTGCAGGAGCAGGACTGGCCAAGGGTGAGGTAGGTAGGGATGGAGGAGACATTGCGGGGGACATTTCTGGTGATTGGATTGGTGAGAGGTTAGAAATTTCTGGTGATTGCACTGGCGAGAGGTTAGAAATTCCTGGAGGTGGAGAGGAAGCAGGAGGAATGACTGGGGAAGCAGGTGCTGGAGTTGATGGAAGGCTTGGTGAAGCTGGCGGTGGGGTTAAGGGGGAGGCTGGTGGTGGGGTAGAAGTTGCAAGAGTGTCTATTTCAAGCTTCATACCTCCGGCGCAATGTCCCGGTGTTGCACAGGTGAAGTATCTCTTGCCAGGAGAAGAAAGAGGGATGACTGTTGTGCCTCCACTATACGACTGTAGTGGGGTGGTTATCTGGCAGGAGTCATAGCCTGCCTTTGAAACTTCAAGCACATTATGCATGGGTCCATACTGGAAGACTGCAATAGATAACAAGTTAATCACAGTAAGTTTTTCAAACAAGACACAGAGATTTGGGTGTTCAAAACTTATTTGTCTTTAATGCAAAATGATCAGCAGAATAAATTAGAAACTCACCGAGGTTATCTCCAACTAGAAATGATTGAGATGCTGCCCAAGTTTGCAGGTCAGTGGTTGCATCCCACCCACCATTTGGACCTCCAACAGTATAATTTGCAGCCATGGCCAATTTTAGTAGAATGACCATAAAGGCCAAGCTCATGAGTGTTCTCACCATTGCAACAATAATTTAGCTATGGAACAGGAAATTGCAGAAGATACAGATACAATGTAGAATGTTTATCTCGTAGAAATGTCTCGAGTTTTGGTTTCAATATAGGGATTCTTTTTATAGAGACTAACAGGCTGTTTAGTTTCTTATCATATTGTTTCAGACCCTGTAACAGGTGGCTTGATGTGTTCCTCATGATCTGCTGGAAGTTTAGGTGCACCATATTCATACCTCTCATTTGACTTGATAGAGAAATTTTATAATACATGAGTAACTAGTGACATATACAATAATTATTTCATAGATCCATTTTGAGGATAGAGATAGGAAAACAAAAAAAAAAAAGATAAACAAGAAACAGAAAATTTAAGAAAATTTAAGCCAACATGGAAATCTTCTTATCATTTTTTATGAGTCCGGATGTAATTGAATGCATCTATCTCTCTTCTTAAAATAGATCTATAGAATAACTATTGTAAATGCTACTAATTACTCTTTGTGTATTATAAAATTTTTCTGAATTTTAATTATGTCAGTTGCTAATCGTAAAGAATCAAATTGGGAAATTAAGAGCTTATTTTATGCATCATGATTATAAATTACAGGGCATTTGAGAAGAATATGTACGCATGGATGGAAGTACAGGAGAGACATTCCAAGTGAGGCCGAAAGGTCAAAATAATATGTGGAGTGGTTAGTGGCAACCATGTGAAAGACAGGGAAGACTTTCCTTTGAGGTGCACCTAATCCAAGCATAAATCCTACAATACAAGGAAATACATGAATAGTACTAAGTCCTCTAGGAATATTTTAAAGCTGCCATGAAAATGGAGGCAATGCCAGTGGCCCATTTGCTGTATAATTGAATTAAACTATACGAATATTTTAAAGTTTGCTTTGTTAATCCACTCCAAATTAATGATTATGGAGGAAAAAAAAAAAAAGGGCAAATCCCAATACAATTGAGGAGTAGCTATAATTTCTTAATGAAGCAGAAGTAATATATTTATGTTCAAATAATTTCATTCGATGACATATTCTAAATTCTAGTTTCGATATAAATACTCGCTGTGTACAGGTATGTTAACCAATATACACTCTATATTTTTATAAAGAAAAAAATATTTTAAATTTAGTAACTTATCTATTTAAGTTTGAAAATCTTGGAAGATAAAATAAGGTTAGTTAGACTGGATTTGCATCAATACATTTACGCTATAGGTAGCCACCATGGTTTAACTGTTCAAATTATTTTAGGTCAACACTGTGACATGCAACCCAACTGGCCAAGCTAATTATACATATTTCTGTTTCAAGAAAAATATAACATATAGGGATTAAATAATTATTTTTGAAAAAATGGACTAATTATTTCGTTTTCTAAACTAGAGGGACTAACAACTATAGCTACATTTTTTTGGTTCTCGGTTTCTATTGCAAAGGGCCTGGCCTTGTGGATCCAAAACCTAAGGGCCATATAGTCCAATAACGGCCTTAATTACACCTTAGGGCATGTAGCCTAACTAGCAGATCAGGATATTGAACTTGTAGGGGTGTTTGTTCGGTTTCAAAATTTTTTAATCGATTTTTTATTAATCGAATTTTCTAAAAAAATAACCGAAATCGAACTAAATTATTATTCAGTTTTTTAATTCGGTTTCGAAATACATCGGTTTCGATATTCGATAATTCGATTTTCACTCGTAATTTTATATGCTTGAAATTATTTATTGATCCCGATATTAATTATATTAAAGATTGTTTGTCTTAATTCACGTTGTCCGAATTTATAAGGATGCTCATTGGCAAATTGGCACATTCTATATAACTAAAAGAAGTGAAGGTTTCACTATTCACTTACTATAGCACTAGAATCAGTACATTGTGGATGGTATTTTCGTGATTTTTTGGATTTTAATGGGTCAAAATTATGCTTTTTTTATGTTTTGGTCCTTAACATTTTCAAACGAATATTTTGATTCATATCTCCATTTGCTAATCCATTTTGGTCCACAGGTGTAAAGAGAAGGGAGGGAGAGAGGGGATGAGAGAGAGATCGTCGGCCAAGCTTATTTAGGTCGTTTTGACCGGCGAAAGTCCATTAGATTGTTTTATCTTTGAGAGATGAGTTTGTCAATGGTGGTTTCAAGCCATTAAACAATTAGAGGAGGTAGATCGGAGCAAAAAAAAAAAAAAAAGTTCCGATTTGATTGTGTATTTTTCTTTATTTTAGTGTACATTAAAATGATTTTTAAGGTTTTAGATGCGTTTATTGGCTTTATTCTGGTCATTTAGAGGTGTTTGGGGGGAAAAAATAATTTTGAAATTCAATTTCTAGAGGTTTAAAACTCTATCTCCGATTTTTCGACGAGACTTCCAATGACCTCAAATTCGTCAGAATTTTTTATTTTTTATTTTTTATTTTTTATTATTATTTTTTTATTTCAGGTTGAGAAGTTAGCCATACCTGGTGCGCGGGCCTGCAATCGCAGGCCCAAGCGCGCTAGCCTGGCTTACAAGCTAACCAGGCGTGGCATTTTTCCTCTTTTTTTTTTTTTTTTCTCCTTTCTATATATATATCCTGACAGGCGTGAGCTGGCTTTTTCCTTTTCTTCTTCTTCTTCTTCTTCTTCTTCTTCTTCTTTTTTTAAAAAAAACATTTAGGCGTGTTTGCTTAATCGCTCATGTGCCAATTAGCGGGGCTGCAAGGTAACGTTTTTACCCTTGCTTTCCTTTTTAGCCTGCCCTTTTTTCACCCATTTTTTGTAACTCCCCCTTACTTGGACAAAATTAATGCTCAATCATAATGCTTCTACTGCACCTTCTTTTTTTCTTTCGAATATATATTGTGGGTTTAGTTAGGTTTACCTTTTTTGTTTTGGTCCTTATATTACAAATATGTTTTTATTTGGTTTCTTGAATTTCAAAATGTTTAAAATGATCCTAAACTCGTATATGATTAAGTTGAAATATATTTGACAAAAATTAAATATTTTTGATAGAGGGTGAATATTACAATAGTTAACATGATTTGAAATTGTGTTAATTAATCGGATAACTTTATATGGTTATCCAAAATAAAATCTAAATTTTTTCATTAATTCAAAATATTTAAAATGACCGTAAACTATATATGATTAATTTGAAATATATCTAACAAAAAATAAATATTTTTAATAGAGGTTAGATATTGTAATAGTTAACATGATTTAAAGTTTTGTTAATTAATGATATAACTTTATATGGTTATCCAAAATAGAATCTAGGGGTATTCATCATTGTATTATAAGAATTTAGGTTAAAATATTTGTCTTTCGTGTTTTATATTTTTGAATTTATGTATTATAAGAAGAACCAACCAATTATTCAAATATAGTTTTTTATATTAACATTATACATATATTATGAAATTAGGTGTAAAAACTTTTAAAAATAAATTGTTATTTTTTTTAGTTTTGCGTACGGTTTAAAGATGATAAAGTATATATATTTGATTATATTATTTTTATTGTTTAATTTTTTTCAATTATTTGTTTCTTATTAAAATTCACATCAAATTAATTTTTTGATATAATTTTATTTTTTAATAAATTTAGTTTTTTAATATATGAATTTTGGAATAAAATTTTAAAAGTCGGTGTTTTATATTATTATAATTTATACAATTAATTAATTTTTTTTTTTGCTTTTTAAATGAGTTTTTTTTATTATAATTTATAAATTTTGATTATATATATATATATATATATATATAGAAAGAGAGAGAAAGAGAGATAAAAGTATGTTTTACATAGTTTGACTCTTTTTTTTAAAAAAAATTAATAATCGGTTAAAGGAATTCACAAGTTTTATTTGTTTTTCATATATATATATATTCGAATTTATCAAAATCAATTTTATTGTAGTTTTTATTTTAATCTGTTGACTTCAATATATTTCATACAATTTAGATGTTTTTTTTGGTATATTTTATTTATTTTTGAATATATATATATATATGAACATGTATTTATGTATGAATCATTAATTTTGTTAAAAATTAACTATATATATGCACACATAATGCCAATTATTTGTTATTTATTTTTCATATTTTTAAATTTATTTTTTAAATAAAATAAGTTAGATAATATTTCGAAACAGACCTCTCAATTATTTAAATATAAATTTTTATGCTAGTATTATTAAATATTTTGTTAATAAATATATATAAATCAAACGATTTCGCTCAACATATAAATTCAATTTACATTAATTATCGAAATAAAACTTCTACTCACACTATATCATAGAATCGTTAATTTAACATATGCAACGGTTGTTTTCGTGCAATGTAACGCGAGTATCGAACTAGTACATACATATATAAACAAAAGCTTCCCTCGTCAAAATAATATAATAAACGTGTGTGAAAACAAACTTTGCCATCACCTATTCAAATAATATATTATCTAGTCGATTTTGCCAGCTTGGTGGCCGTGGCTCTACAGAAAGGCAAAGGACTCTTATGAATGACAAAAGCAGAACTTGCTCTAGTAAAGGTAAATTTAGCAGAGCTTTATGCTTTTATTATGCTTTTACAGCTTCATTCACTTGTAGAATACCTAGTATTCCAGTACTCCTCTATTTCCTCGGCTGTTCTTCCAGGAATCCACCCAGCAATTAGAGACCACCTGTTTGTCAAAATTATTACAACTTGAGGTTCAATATTTTGAAGGCTAACAAAGTTATTAAAATAGAAAAAACAGAAGGACAAAACAAATAAGCCTCTCTCCAACTATATTAAACATCCTAATTATAAGTGTCTCCTCATCCTCAGAGAATTCAAGCTTCGATTCCTTACTTGTTTCCTCTGAACAAAAAACACCCCAAAATCAATAAACCCGAATATAGTATTTACCAAATAAAGAAACACCCTTCTGGAGAACAAACATTTCATGCATACTGCAAAAGCTAACAAGCTTAGAAGGGACAAATACCATGTAAAAACAAGTAGAGATAAAAGACCATAAATGTGGGTGTCAAACCGTATAATACCTCTAGAATCCACAGAAGTTTCATCAGAAGAAGAATGTTCAGAGTCAGCCATAGGGGAAAAGTAGGGATCACAAAGTTACCATAGATTGATTACCCTACCTACTTATCCTTATCCAACTGAAGGAAATATATTCCCCGACTAAAATAAAATTTAAATTCTTGTAAAACAGCATCTCGACCCTATATATATATAACCAGGCAATAAAATCGCTAGTTGCTAATTCATATTCCATGGACTCCTTTGAACTCAAAACCACAGCTAGGCACCTACACCAGGTTCTGTTTCTATTATTACTTGCTATTTCTTTCCTTTTTTCCCCTATAGTAATGAAGCATTGGATTTCTACTTCTCATGCAAGGCTATACCATGGATTACATTCGAGAAAAAACAATTGATGACACTAAACTTACCCTGTTCAGGTAATTTAACTGTGTAATGACATAAATCACTGCAACCGAAAGGAAAAACCAAGTCTGAGGATAAGCTATCTGATTTGTCCCTTCCAATGTCAACTTTATTGCAATTCCAATGGCTTTTATGCGTACAACCTGAATACCACCAGGAAAAAAGAAAAAGAGAAAAAAGAAGCTAGAGTTAATGCTCAGAATGGTAACGCATGGTAACTACCAAAATGAAAATGAAATGAAATGCCATACAAAATGGCATTAAGATTATCCTCTACCTCTGTACAAACTAGACAGGTTGTAGCAGTAGAACATAGAAAATCCTTTCCACTGACTAAAATTCCACTTATTTGACAATAACTATTTGCAGCCAAAAAGGAATCACACAAGACAAGAAATCTATTACTACTTGCAGAAAAGAAAACAAATAATTCAACCAAACATCATAAATATCATGGAAATCAATTCAGATCAAACTAAAATTAGTTAAAATTATGGTTAGTCTAGCAGTATATATATATATATATATATATAGAGAGAGAGAGAGAGAGAGAGAGAGAGAGAGAGAGAGAGAGAGGGGGGGGGGAGTATAGTTAGTTACTTGAAGAGTGCGAGTAGCAAACTCGACGCCAATGGTGGACTTGGATTCCAAGCAGAACTCGTTGCGAGTAAATCGGGAGAGGAGGTTCGATTTTCCTCTACCTCTGACCGGATGATTGAAGAATGAAGATTGAGAGGTTCGATTTTCCTCTACCTCTGACCGGATGATTGAAGAATGAAGATTGAGTGATTGATTGCGATTTGAGATTTGAGATTTGGAATTGGGAATTTGGGGGTGACTTTAGGTTTGGGTTTCTGGTATGGCCGTGTGGGGGAGATTTTAGGTTTGGATAATTAGGTTTCTCGTAGTGACTGGTGTGTGAGCGGTGAGCTGGTGAGAGTGCGTGATGAGGGGGAGGGGCTGAGGCAGTGAGGCTGTGAGTTGTGAGAGTGAGTGAGGCAGTATGAAGTCTTGAACAGGAAGAGCAAAGAGGAGTGAACGAGAACGACGTCCTTTCAGTGATGATTTAAAAAAAATATATATATTTTTAATAATTTCGGTTATTCAGTTTAATCGGTTTTTTTTTTTAAAAAAAAACCAAAACCAAAACCGAATCCGATTATATTTCGATTCATTTTTTTCTAATTTTTCTTTTTCTAATTTTTAAAGAAAAAATCACATCAAAATTGATATTTTGATACGATTCAATTTAATTTTTTAATTTTTTACCAAACAATCAACACTCCTGGACCAACCTAATAATATAAGAAATAAGCCCACGTCAGGATTTCCATTTCAATTGCCAACATTAGAGTAAATTACAAATTAATCCTTTCATTTTGAAGAAACAAATTAATTAGTTATTTTTTATTTCAAAAAACTAATTATTTACTCTTTAACCGGGTTCACTAAGTTTAGTTTAATATTATATTATTTTAAAAAATATAATATTTTCTCATCAATTTTTCATACTTTTTACTTATTATTTATTTATTTTATTAGTAGTAAGGGTGTCCATGAGTCTGTTTTTATGTATTTTGAAACTAATCTTTTCTTGAGTGTGGTTAAAGGATACTTCTCAATGTATAACTTTGTGTATTCTGAGAATAAATTTTCAGGAGTCTTGACCATAAGAATTAAACTCTGAATCTATTGTACAAGTCAAAGCTTGCATAAAATTAAAAAAAAAATAAAAATAAAAGAGAGTGAGTTATATAAATAATTAATTAGTTAAGGTGATTCACTATTTTAGGATAATTACCCATAATTATGTTTTAGTGATGATAAATTTGGACTGATTTAGTTTAACAAGAAGCCTAATGGTCAATCGAAGTTAATCATGTTATGATGCTAACTTAGCTAAGCAAGTGATGAATTTAGTCTTGGTTAATGCAAAACTAATCCGAAGATACTATGTATAAATATAAAAAAATAAAAAATTAGTTAAGGTGATCATAGACACACACGGATTTCCTTAATATGACAGTTTCTCCCACGTTTCTTAACTTTCATTTCATAAGAAAAGGCATTGTTTTTTGCTCTCCTGTATCCAATAAACAATGCTTTCTAATAATTCGAGTAACAGTCAAATTTAAACAACGTAATTTGTCTGAAAATATACTGAAAACGAGATTTGGTCGCATCCTTCCGAGGATCTGGTCATGTTATATATATATATATATATATATTTCTAGAACACCAAAGCCTTAATTTAACTTGCATAAATTTAGCAATATTTTTTGGCTATATTATAATTCCTTCAAAGATATATAGATGTTTTCAGCAGAGTTACGGTTAAATTTAGCTGTGAAAAGGCGTTGCATGTATATGCCTTTCAGCAGATGGTCATTGATTAATTTCCATATAGATTTTAGCTGTGAAATATACACAAAGCAAGAGGTATATAGCACTCTTTACATCAGCATTGTTGCTGATTAATGGAGTGAGTGAAATAAATACAGTGTTTTTTTTTTACTATTTAATATTATATATTTTATATCATATTTATTCAAATATGATATAAAAAAAATTATGTACTACTTACAGCTAAGATAAACCAATCTTTTTCGTTTACCATCTAATCATAATGACACGAGTGTACAAAAATAAACAACAAAATTATTTATATTTTAACTTTGAGTAGTATAATATTTGTTTTGTACCATAGATAAAAAGATTAAAACAAGTGGAAGGTGATACTAAATAATATAAGATTACATAATGTATTTCATCCATAATGAAAATATCTAGAAACATTTTACAGAGGCAATTCTCTAGAAGGTGATAAAAATCTTCATTTTTACTTGTTTCGGTCAAATTGTTTGCTTAATTTTATATAATCACAAACTTTGCAAGAAATTAACTTACTGTTTCTTGGAAGCTTGCAGTACTGATTTTTTTTTTTTTTTTTTTTTTTATAAATATTCAAGAAAAGATCATGTAACAAACAAGTGATGGAGCATGCTGTTTAATTAGTGTTGGGTTCCGTCGCACCTAAACTATCCACTACATCCACATTTCAACTTTGTGTGCTATATAAAATAAATTACTATTAAACAAAACTGATGATTAATGCAGTTGATTGACATTTTCTTGATTACCTTTCCTAAGAATATTGTTCCATTCTAAGCGCAGTTGGCAAATTCAAAATTAGACAAGGTCAGCTTTCCCTAACTTTAATCAATCCTTAATGAAAATGGAGATTAACACTATAAATACGTGCTATTGCTCATATCCTCCCAACCTCATCAATAATCACCTGCCTATCTATCTCTGAAACGTAAAGTAACAATGTCTTCCTCCAGGCCATTCACCTCCTCTCTCTATCTGCTAACTTTCACACTACTTCTCCAAAATGTTCTTGGAGTTGACCCTCTCTACAGTAGTTGTTCAGGCAACGAGAATTCAACTGTTAATTATGGGTCTTATAGAACAAGCTTGAACGTTCTCATGGGTTCTTTCTACCATCTTGCTCCAGCTAATAATAAAGGGTTCGCTGTTGGTTCTTTAGGTCAGGACAACCAAGACAGACCATATGGGCTCGTTCTTTGTAGAGGAGATGTCTCATCCTCAGATTGCAGAGCCTGTGTTGCTAATGCAACAAGGGAGCTACGCAAGCGCTGCCCAAACAGCAAAGTTGGAATCATATTTTACGATAACTGTCTATTGAAGTATTCAAACAAGCACTTCTTTGGCCAGATTGACAACGGAAGCAATTTATACTTGTACAACGTGCAAAATGTGAGCAATCCAGTTGTATTTAATCAGAAGACTGAGGAATTGTTGAGCCGACTTGCAAACAAGGCTTCTTATAACAGTACCAAAAAGTACTATGCTGCCGGAGAGATGGACCTTGAGGGATCGAAGAAACTATATGGAATGGCTCAGTGCACAAGGGATCTTTCTAGTGTTGATTGTAAGAAGTGTCTTGATGGTGCTATAGGTAAACTTCAAAGTTTTGCTCATGGAAAAAGAGGGGGCAGGGTTCTTGGTGGGAGTTGTATGGTTAGATACGAGATATATCCATTTGTTAGGGCTTAAATTATGCTATTATGAGCTTTAAGATCATTATCACAACAAGAAATAAGTGTTCTAGCCGGGAACACAACTAATTTATTTTATTTGATTATTTAATTTTAAGTCTTGATTAATAAAATGGTTTTGTCTAAATTTGCTTTACTCTTTTAATTTTTTTTATTAGAACTTATATTCCGTTGTAGAGTAATATAAAATCATTTATCAACCTCACCCAACAATTTAAGTTTTTAGATTAACATAGTTTTTTGATATTGTATCGAGCCTTAATGACCAAACAATTAGGAGTTCGAAACTTATCACCCCACTTTCTCTTCTATAGTGATGAGTCGACATAAGTTTCAAGTTAAAAAATAATTAAGCATGGGATCGTGATAGGTCTATGTTTGGTCATGAGTTCAAATCTTACCCCTACCACTTTCTCTTCTATAGCAATGAGTCTATACATATTGCAAGGTAAAAAATAATTAAGCACAAAATAGTGATGCGTCTATATACATTTCAAAACCAAAAAGCTTTCACTTAAAAAAGTATATATATATATATATATATCGGGTGTTGTTTGATAATAAAAAATGAAATGGTAGAAATAAGAATAAAAGTTTCATTTTTACTTTGTAGTCGTTTGATTGAAAGCAATAAAGTAAAAATAGAAATGAAAATGGGTTGTGAGAATGAAAATTAAACATAATTGCACTTCCATTTAGGAAGGTGGAAATGAAAAAAAGAATTGTGAATGGATTTTTTTTTCTTCAAAATAGTTCTATATTATTTTTATTTATTATATATCAATTATTTCTACCACCACCTTCATCTCCACCTCCACCACTACAACCACTACCACCATTGAGGTGGTGATAAAAAAAATTAAAAAATTATTGTTATTATTATTCTACCACCACCACTCATCCACCATCATCATTATTTTTATTATAACATAACTCCTACTACTACAATTGCCATCACTACCATCGCTACCATGATAGTGAACATTATTGATTTTATTTAGCCTTTTAGATGCAATTTTAGGTTATATGCATTGAGTTAAGTTTATTTTTTAATTTAGGAGATGATTGGAGGTAAATGATCAAAAGTGAGCTAACTAATGTGAAATTCCATTATTGATACGATGATCTTTAGAAGAAAATACAAGAATTTCACATTTTCGGAGATCTAGAAAGTAAAAGAGCCATTTTTGAGGTTTGAAATGGAAATTTTAATCTTTCCAAATTGGGTTTAAATACAAAAATCTATTCTGTTTTGAGCTATCAAAGTCAATTGCAAAGTTAGGTCGAAATTTGAATCCACTACGAGTTTGAAACACTTTCTAGTGTTTAGACCATATCTAGAGTTATACACATGCATTAGATTAAGATTATTCAAAACCTTATAAAAATAAGACATCCAAGCTTTCAACTTTCTTGAAGAGAAAAAGACAAAAATAAACCTCAATCCGATTTGAAATTAGTCCATAAGATATAGCATAAAAGTTAGAGTCTTATTCAGCCACAACTCCTAAATAATTTCGGATACAATCCTAAATAGGACTTATGAGCTAGAATATCTATCTAAACACATGCATAAATAGTATCTGAGAGCTGCACATTCGAATACATTAGGGTTTACAAAATAAATTCTTTATTTTTGTGTTTTTACTTTCAAGATGGAAGGCTAATACTTTTTTTCACACTACCAAATAAATGTCATTTAGTGACGGGCGGATCCGTCGCTAAATAAAAAAACCGTTGCTAAAATATTTTAACGAGTAATTAGCGATGGTCAAGTAACCGTCGCTAAAAAGCTCGTCGGTGTTTTTAGCGACGGTTTGGACCATTGCAAAATTAGCGACGGTCTAAAACGTTGCTATTCCGTCGCTAAATGTCGATATAAACGAGTTATGACATTAGCGACGGTCATGTAAAGCGTTGGTATGCTCGTTGCTAAATAGCGATGGATTAGCGACGATCCGTACCGTTGCTAAATTGTTGGCAATGGTCAATTTGGCAATGGTGCGGACCATTGGTAATATTTTATTTTTAGCGACGGTCCGCAAAATTAGCGACGGTCTAAAATGTTGCTATTCCGTCGCTAAATATCAATGTAAACAGTTATGACATTAGCGACGATCGTGTAAACTCGTTGGTATGCCCGTTGCTAAATAGCGACGGATTAGCGATGGCTCGGACCGTTGCTAAATTGTTGGCAATGGTCAATTTGGCAACGATGCGGACCATTGGTAATATTTTATTTTTAGCGACGGTCTTAGAAACGGTCTAGAACGTTTCTAAGACCGTCGCGAATTGAAAAAATAAATTTATTTACAGCAATAATAAAATGAGGTAAAAGTAACATTTTTAAAGTAACAAAAATCTCATAAAATATCATAAACGTAAATTTTTATTATTCGAAATGTATTAAAACATCACTACACAATTAAATTATTGTTAAATAACAAAAAATAGTACATCGATTGTAGTTAATACAAGAAAATAGAAAATCTAAAATAACTTAATGTCCGGGATCGGTCGGAGGTCGGGTGGAGTCGTTGTCGGTCTCGGGAACGACGGATGAACTACCACCACGCTCAAAATGTCGCATGAACATCTGCTGCATCCGTGACATCATCGTATACTACTGTTGATTATAGGTTCTCAACTCAATTGTATTATCCAACAATGATGCCACTTGGCCCCGTAGGTCGTTCATAGTACTCTCTAAGTTATTGATGTGCGTCATATTTGTAGATGTTTGCTCTCGTAATTCTTTCAACTGTGCCTCGTCGACTGCATTGAATCCGGAAGTAACGGAAGATGAGCTCGCATTAACGGTTAAATAGTAGTGAGATGCATGTGACCCGAGTCCGTACATCCTCTTCCTCCTATTATCTCCTCCACCAACGGCCCTTTGAAAGATGTCATTAATGTCGGGTGCGATCGCTTCGGTCCCTTCCGATTGTCGACTAGTAACCTCTTCCTCATTAATTAATCTTTGTACGGTCTCCTGTATAATTATGAAACATGTCACATCAAATATGGTTGTCAAATAACGTTATTAACTAACGGATATTAAATAATGTTTCAAAGTTATCACTTACTCCGATAACCCTCGACCGTTGATCGACGAAGACTAACTAATCATTAACTTTTCTCTTATGAGTCCTCAAGAAAACCTCGTGAGGATCGGGTTCACGACCCAACACATTACATTGAAAACATATATAAATAAACGTAAATGTATTAAATATAGTCAAATGTTTAATTAATTATTTTGGGTATTATTTTTTTAAAAATTATAAATAAATAAAATAATATATATCTTTTACCATGCGTATGGCGTGCTCTCTATGGCTGATTGATCCCTCCGTATGTCTAGAAGGACTAGCTCCGACTCCACCGGTCTCGCTCCTACGGTTTCGTGCTTGCCATCTCGGATCGAACAATGGCCTTGGGTTTTGTCCATTCCGTAGTCCATGCATCTCATATTTCCTGTGAGATATATGCTGGCTTTGGTTTTTTCCTTAGACGATAAAGGAAGTTAGAATATCGCTTCCGTGCGAGACTTTCCCATGCTTTCTTAACTATGCTCTCGTTCAAATTATCATCCCACTTAAAATGATTTTTGCAAAATAATAATAATAATAAACACTACTAAATTTACTTTCATATTATTTTGTACAATTTAATTAAATATTAAATAATATAATTAATCAAATAAAATTTAGAAATTAGAACCTTAAATTCTTCACGAGTAAAAATCTTTTGTCTCCGGACTCATTTTTTTCCACATCCATCCCGAAGAATGAACATACTCTTGGAATGTCTTAACGATCGAGCGAGAGCAAACATCGAGAGGATACAACCTACAAAAAAAATAAACATTAATTAAATTCATAAATAAAGGAGTACGTGATAACGGTAAACAAAATTTTTTTTTAATTAAATTAAGCATAAATCGTACTCATTGCGCTCAACAACAATGACTCGTACTCGATAATCAACGACGGATGTTATTGGTTCCGAAGCCGATTGAAGAGGGACATTGTGGGGTGGAACTTGTTGAGGAATGGAACGGTTGTCCCGATGTGATGATGAAGGCACCGACGATGACGACGAAAAAGATGAGGGAGGTTGACGTGAAGGTTCAAAAGGTCGAGGCCGAGACATGACGAGCATGGAACGGGATGTGGAGGGGCCACCAAAAGAGTGGTACGGAGGCATGTCCGGTGGGGGATCCATCCGACCGTGAGCGAAATAAGAAGGATGTCTACGACGTCCACGATCACCGTCGGACCGATCGATATCCGAACCACGACCCCTACCTTGAGTTATTATGACCTACATATTAATTATTAAATTCAATAGTTGTTAAATAAAATATGAATTATATTATGCATATATACTTACATATAATATTCAAATTAATATGAACTAATTGATTTATACTAAACAATAATAAATTATAAACATTTATTTAATTAAATCTTACCTTTAAAAATTATATGTTAACTATGTAGGTAAACATACGAATAAACCTAATTTTTTTCTAAAATTGTTACGGAACAAGGACGGTACCACGGAGATTTATTAAAATAGTTTGAAAAATTATACTTGGGGGGATAAAACCAGCCTATCCTAACATCCAAGGAGGACAAGGTTGCCTAAACCCTTAAATTCGAACAACAATTACATAAAATCTAAGTGCATAATTTATGAATTGAATAAAAAATACAATATAACATAATCTAATGGGATATATCATATTATCTCTAATCAATATCATTATCATCATTGTCACATTCTTCATCTAAGTCTTCTTTAACATCATTTTCTAACTCCGATTCATTCCGAATATCTACTTCATCACCGTCCAATTCTAATAATGCTCCGAGTAGGATCAATCAATGACTGGCCTTCATCATCATCAATGTGCATGATATTGTGTTGACCTTCGTTTCATTTTCTTGAAAGGGTTCGATATTGGTTTGATCGACGATAATGGATATTTTT